TCGCCATCCTTGACTGGCTGGATCTTTTCTGCTCTCGATTGATGCCAATGAGGGCTAAACTGGTTGCAGGGATGATTCACTTGAAACTGTCAAAAGAAATGAAATCCAATATGGTCTTTTCCACAAAGTTGTTCCGTATAAGGAATTATTTGGGTGGACAATGGATGAACCTGTGAAGCTTATTGGTTTGAAGCATAACTGCACCTTTTGGGGTGTTTTCCGTCGCCAGGCACTTGACCGGTCGTGGTGCGACACTTTTGAAAGTAGACAAGCTTGTATTTGGATGTTGACCACTTGAAGAAAGAACTCCATTTACGGGTCTGTCTAGATGGAGGCTACCATGTTCTGGATGAGTTGACTCAATACAGTAGTGATCTTCGCCCAACGGCAAAACAGTTGTGGAAGTTGCAGATCAGCTTCTCGAAAAAAAAAACTAAGAAGGAGGCGAGGGAAGGGTTTAAAAGTCGAATGAGCAAAATGAGGACTGAATTTGTAGTTTCATGAGTCTTGTTCAATTTAATCCATCTATGTAAGGGCATATATAGTTCAAATGTCGCATGAGCAAATTGAGGGCTAAATTTGTAATTTTCTGACATTACTTTTCAATTTAATCCAACATATGTAAACACAACTCTAGTTTGGATAATAAACACATCCTATATAGTAAAACAATAGATAAAATTCAACATGGTGTGATCGAATTGTCCAACCATATCCTATTTAGTAAATGAGCTCTTTTTAGCTATTAACATATTAACATGTGAATTTTTTGAAAAAGATTGAACATAATTGTTCGAATATCCACCGTCGATGCATTTAGATGTGTCCATCTATCACGGGTCTAAAATTTTGTGATCTTTCAACCTCCTACAACATCAGTTGGTGTGCATATTAACTCATGTCCACTGAAGAGATAATGGAACTGAGAAATATTTTAATTAATTATTATGATACTTATTATTTAATTGACAATGTCAAAATTGTGAAAAGCCTATCAAATAAAAGTATTTCATTGAGTCTATTTATGAATAAACACAAATGAATGTCAAATAAGAAATATTTTTTTTTAATAATAAATTTATATTCACATATCTAGAATCCATCCTATTTATAGCAAAAGCAAAATGCCTCCCATTATTCAAGTAATGAGTCATGACCACTAGAATGATCACCTTCTCCCATGTAATTCTCCAAACCATTAGAGTTTGTAAAATAAAAATAAACAAGGCCTTCCCTTTCTATTTATCATTGTTCTAAGATATCACTAGCAAATTTCTTATGAACAAAATTCTCATAATAACCACAACTTATCCACACAAAACCTTTTGAAAAGGAGGGGAAAACGATATGTACTCGACCGCCAATCGTAAGAATCGATCGTCTCTTCTAATCCTACTTTATTGCTTATTAATCACAATCATTCCACGAGGCCAAACGGCAGATACTGGTGGATTAGCAGAGTGTGCCCAACATTGCATGCTGATATGCATGAAGATTAAGGGAGCGATGGCTAGCGCGTGCGAGCCGGCTTGCGAGCAATATTGTATCCAAGTAAGTGGCAAGATCCATCCTGGTTGGTACAAGATCGACTGACTGAAATAGATTTATGAAAAATTAGGTGGTGGTTCTTGATGTTATGTATTCTTTTTTTCTTTTTAATTGTTATTTAATTGATTAATTAGTTTTAAATTTTTCTTGTTTTGATTATTGTCAAGGTGGTGAAATTGGGGAAGTTGTGTATGATCTATAGTTTAGTATGATCTAGTTGCTTTTTTTTTTTTTTTTTTTTTTTTTTTTTTTTTTTTTGATATAGAGTTTGCTTACCAAGCAAACTCTTATCATAGAACAATGTAAACTAACTTTTATAAGTTTGTTTTATACAAAGTTGGCATTTATTTCTCCACAAATCTTGTATCTATGAAATCATATACTTCAATCAACACAAGATCAATTATAGATATTGTTCTAGTGTTGCCAAACATAATATTTGGTACCGCGAGCCGGATGAACGCCATGCTCGTCTACCCGCCATGTGCAATACTCACTACTCTCGCAGTCGGTGAAAAGCCACTTCCCATCGAAAGCATGAAAACCCACTTGAGCATCACCCCATCGAACTTTACAAAAGAACAAAGTCGAAAAGGGTTTCACGCAAAAACGAAAGCCCCAACTTTGGTTGTTCGTTAATGTGTGATTTCCAAGGTCGTTGTCTTTAGACGCACAGTGCACCAAAATCGGGTCGCGATAGGTATCGGGAATAACGTTGACAATCGTAACATGGACTCTGAAAAACTTATTAATGATACAACCTTCGGATTTGGGGAAAATATTATGTGCAAAAATGGAGATATATAGCAAGAATAGGTACTTAGTCATGGTGCTTATTGACATGATATATACATGTGTTGTTTTTCATTAGGAGAGGTGATATCATATGGTTTATTTATACATGTTCATTTCATTTTATTTGGCTTTGGTGAACCTTATTATACATGGCTGCATGAATTGTTTTTAATTGAATAAGATTACAATAATAAGTTGACAAAATGGAGATTATATACGGCTTTGGTAATCCAAATTGTGGTATTGTGCATTTACAAATTGCACTGTTGGCTTTATTGAGAGGATTTAATTAAGGGTAGAATATTGTTCCTACACGAAACTTCTTAATTTGGGTGTACTTGTAAGTACAATTTGGGGGCTTTATTCAAAAAAATCAAGTCATTGAAAGCATTTATTTATTTTTTTATACAAAAATTGTTTTAAATTTAAATCATGTCAATATTTTATCGATTAATTAAATAAATTTAAATTACGTAAAAAATATTCCGCTGGAAAGAGTTTTTCATTGGAATTTTCATTGGATTTTGACGACTCCAACGGTATATTTTCCAACGGTTGAAATATGAGTGAAAATAAAAATTCCAACGAAAAATGTATATTCCAAGAAAATTTCTACAGTAAAAAACTGTTGTCATAATGGCCATTGGAATGATAAAACTCTATCTAAATTCCAATGGAAAACTCATATTCCAACGAAATAGTTCCGTTGGAATTTTTGTTGGAATCATTCTAATGGAAGCTATACCATTGAAATTTCTATTATAATATATTACCTTAGGATTTTCCTTTGAAATATGATATTGTTTTTTTGTAGTGACGGATACAAAATAAATAAAAACAAAATGAACAAAATAAGAGAACCTTCAATCATTTTAGATAAAACGGCTGCCCAGAAATTGGTCGTCAAAGTCCACCACAACAGTTTCTTACTTCCTGTAGGTACTAGGTTGTACCTAAGCTTATAGTTTATTTCACAAGATTAAAAAAAGATACACTAAATTGAGCGTTGTCAAGAAAAAAGACATTATGTCGTCTCACACGGAAAAGAAACATTTAAATTGATATTTTGGTCAGAAAAGATACACTAATCACCTCCGCGGGATAAAAATCTGACGTGGCATTACACCTGGATAAAAAAAAAATCTAAACAAAAAAAATTATATATTAAATACAAATAAATTTCCTTTATATATATATTAAAAATAATAAATAATTAATAAAATTAAAAACATTAAAATCAAAAAATTAAAAATTAAATATTATTTTAAAAATAATATATTTCGTTAAATATATATTAAAATAAAAAATCCTTATATTTCGCTAATATATATTAAAAAATTTTTAAAAATAAAAAAGTATTTGTGGTTAAATATAAATGTATTTCATTAATATATATTAAAAATAATAAAAAATAAAAATATATATATTATATTAAAAAATATAATATAAAATATAAAAAATATATAATAAATAAAAAATAAATAAAAAATCAAAAAATATATATTCAATATAAATACATTTCTTTAAATGTATTTAATATAATATATATTTAAATATATATATATATTTAAAATAAATTAAAATACAATTTTTAAAATATAATTATACATTTTGTGATTTATATTTATATATTTAATATATTTATATATATTATATAAGTAAACATTATGTAAAGTATCATATTAGATAATATAATAAGTTATATATCATTATTGATATTAAAAACAAAATATATTTTTTATATTTTCAGCATTTTTTTAATATATATTAACGAAATATATTATATTTAACAAATATTAACGAAAGATTTTTTTTAATAAGTTTCTAATATATATTAACAAAATATAATTTTTTTTAATATATACTTAACGAAATATATTTATTTAACAAAATAACAATTTTTGAACTTTTTGTAATTTTTTATTCTTTCAATATATATATGAATGAAATATATTTATATTTACTATATATTATTTTTTTTTATTTTTTTATATTTAACAAAATTTTGATGATATATTTTTTAATAATTTTAATATATTAACAAAATATAATGATTTATTTATTTTTGATATATATTATTTTTTATTTTTTTTTTATTTTTTTTTATTATCTAGGTGTAATGCCACATCAACCACTTATATAACACATAGAAAATTAAAGAAAGTTTATATGCCACGTCATTACTTAATCCCGTCACGTCGGATTTTTATCCCGCAGGGGTGATTAGTGTATCTTTTTCGACCAAAATGTCAACTAAATGTTTCTTTTCCTTGCGGGACAACATAACGTCTCTTTTCTTGACCATGTCCAATTTAGTGTATCTTTTTTGTAATTCTGCCTAGTTTATTTGGTTAGCTTATAAGTTTTATGTACTTAAATAAATACATAAAAAGCTGATCTAACTTATCTCATAAGTTTCTTTGGATAACTTTTCAAATAAACTTCTTTAGGTAGTTTTTCAAATAAACTTTTTGAAATTTTTATTTCAATTAACTTATCAACTATGCCAAAAACACTTTTGTTACAACATTTTCATATCCAATCTCACCTCTTGAACACATCTCCAAAACTGGCTTTTTTATTTTATTTTTTAATTTTTTGTATCTGATATATATCAAATTGTGTATAAATATTATAGATGTGCAATTAGCACATGATTACTGATATGCTTCCCATGGATGATATTCGCCTCCTGGTAAGTTAGCTCCGGCGTCAACTACGTTCCACGTGCATTCGATTTTTTGAGCATAAATATCACAAGGATTGTAAATCCATTTAGCATCGTAAGCATGTAAAGACATGAACAGTTCGCCCCAATTGAGGTCGCAGTAAAATAAGGTGGTAAAAGGGATTGGACAAAAGTTGAAGCCCCAACTGTCACCATAAGCCGCCAACGTGTGATTTCCGAGATTGTCATCTTTGGACGCGCAATACACGTATAGTGGCTTAGAGTCATTCTGCGGAAGATAATTGACGAAATTGACAATAACTTTGGTAGTAAAGAAACAACTCTCCCCCCTATAGAAAAGACTTGAAAAGAGGAGAAAGAACGAGGTGAGGTAGAGAATGTTTGTGGCTCTAAGCATGATGTTTGGTTTGATGGTTTTAAAATAATTTTGATGAATGTATGATGTTTGCATTGGTGAAGTCTTGTCTTGTTTATATGATTGATTGTACCACTTTTACAAGATTGTTAGTGTAAGTGATTGTAAATATTACATCAATAATTTTACCTTTTAATGTTGACTTTGAATAGCTGGGTTTGATTTTATGGTGATTGGATTTATAGATTTAGTACTTAAAGTAACTAGAATCAAGAAATTGATAAATCTAACTCATGTATTTGGTTAATATATAAATCTTTAATGATATAAAACGTGATATAAATTTAAGGACACACAAGTGAGGGGACGTATCAGAATATTCATTTGTGAGTTGTCCCACATCGTTTATAAAAAAAAATAGACATAATTTATAAGTCTAATGGGACACTCATACTTCCACTAATTGGTTTTAGGATGAAACTTCACTTGAGCTTATCTAGGCTTTCTCTGTCTTGGTGTTTCATCGTGCGTGGGACCACACCCGTTTTACCCCCGTTTTACCCCTGTTTCTTACAACAGTTACATATTAACTAGTGCTATCCCGTGCGATGCACAGGTAAACAATATTAAATAATAATTAAAAATAAGCGAGTTCGAGTCGCCCAATGAAAGAAGTGGGGAACCGTTATTAATCTTTTCTTAAAAGAGCAAGAAAGATACTATAAATTAAAAATGAGGGTAAACGATATTAAATAATATTTATAAATTAACGATTTGGGGTTAATATGTCATATAATTTACGGTATATCAGTTTATTATAAACAATATAAAATTAGCTTGTTCAAGAGAACATAAAATTTGTATGTTTAAACAATTAAAAACTCCTAAATATTATATTAACATATGTAAAATTATCTAAACTTTTATATATTATTATTAAAAGATGTGAAGTCACCTAATTTTTTTTAAATTTTTTTTGTAAATAAAATATATCTAAAAACATTAAAGTTTACATTTATATGAAAGATGTTTTCTGAATATGACATGATAAAATATTATATAAAAGTATCTAAAATATTATAAGCTTAAATAAATACATTATAAAGTTTTGAAAGAAAATTTACCTAGTATATATAAAATAAATATTGACATGATACTGAAAATTACGATGATACTACCGTACCTGAAAATTTGAGTATAGAAGATTTCAAAATTATTATTATTATTATTCTTTTGAGCAATTTGAGTACAAAAGATTTCAAAATTATTATTATTTTTAGTTACTTTAAAAAAAATTCTACGCATAAAATTCCACGCTTTATGCATATTTATCAATTTTACATATAAAATGGAATTTATTTTGTATTGAATGGAGACTAAGACAATTTTGAAAAAAAAAACTGGCTATTTTCAAAATTATCCTCTTGATTTTTGAAACAATACATTTGTAATTTGACTTTATTATTGTAAAATTTTAAAACTTATGGAAAAAAATTAAAGAGATGAATTTCGATTGATTTGAAATTCTTAAACCATTTTGAATTTCGTGCAAATTGAAACCTAAAAAAATGTAATTCATTATAATTTTGTAATTTCCAAGAGGTTTGTTAATTTTAAAGTGGCGCAAAATTCTTCATTTAAGGTTAGCCGTCGAAGGATAGAAGCATGTGATTAGATATTTTTTAATTCAATTTGAACAAAATCATTTATATTAGAAAGAGATTTTGAATTAAGCCAAATTTTATGACAATTAAAATGAGAAGGGATTCTGGATTTCAAATTTTCAATTCAAGTTTTAAGGTTATTTTTTCGGCTATATGATTGTTTAGAATAAAAAACACAATTGGGTTTTTTTTTTTTAAATCAAATGTACCAAATCCACCAAATAAATGAGTTGTAATTTATTTTTTATATAAATAAAAGCATCCGATTAGAACAATTGTAGAGAGTTGATGTTAAAAAAGTTCCTGATTTTTTGTAATATTAATTTAAGTTTATATTATTAAATTAGGCGTAATTTTATTTTTTTTAATAAAATAAAATTTGCAACGTGGTACACGATTATATGTCAAAAAAAGTTTTGTTATTAATTTGTGAAAATGAAAAAGGAACTGCCTAATCTTGCGCAAAAATAAATAACAAACTCTACATTTAAATGCAGTATTTAATGATGCACATTTCTAAATAAAAAATAAATAAAAACTTACTATTAATAGCATGCAATTAATGCTCAACTATATTTGACCATAATTTGACTTGCCATTTTCAAAATATGATAATTCTTTTTATATATATATAGATATAGATTGATTATAATTTTTTATTAGGAGAAAATTTGATTGGGAGTAAACACTACTAAGATGTTATACCATTATAACATCATAATACGACAAAGTCATACTATGAAATATTATATATTTTATGTTGTTTTATTGAGTATGACGTTTTAAGTTAAAAGTATGTATAGAGATTATTGATTGAGTAATGCTCCCTTATTCACGGTGAACACATGTTAATATATTCATCATTTATGTGGCAATTACACATTGGTGATGTTAATATGTTCAAAATAATACATCACCAATGTCTGCATGTCACATAAGCGGTGAACATATTAACATGCGCCCTCCGTGAGTAGGAGAGGATTACTGTATTTAGATTACCTTAATCTAATGTTTAAACAAAACTTACCCAAAATATGAATAAAATTATGAGAAAAAAAAAAAATCAAAACAACTTGGAGTTAATCCTAATCAGTTATTCGAGATTGTAACATATATTTTGTCTCTAATATTTTAAACTTTAACATTAAAACAATGTTTATGGCTAAAAATAATTTAAAGTTTCTTTTGGAAATCGAGACAAAAGAACTTCTTATTTCATGTGTGATTAGACAACAGTGCTACTACCGTGTGTCCTGACACACCTAGTTAGGTGTGTCAGAGCAATACTAAATGAACACGTTATATCATGTTCATTTTATAACGTAACATGTAATGAATATATTCATTTTATTACGTAACATGTTTATTTTATTATTGCTTTAACACACCTAACTAAGTGTGCCAGAGCACACTTAAGTATTTGCGGTTACACAAGACACAGGACGAGTTGAACGATTGGACACGGCGCTGAATTTCAATATATTAATTATGACTTTTTAATAACAAAATCACAGATATTATGATATTTATTATTTTCGGAATACAAAATTGATGATACTTTTGAGTAATAAACTGATCCCAGAAAAAGTTGTTTCGTAGTACCAATTTTAAGTCATGTTCTGTTTTCCGTAACTGGACGTGTTCTAATTTCTTAGTAAATAAACTTATAATTTAAAATAATAATAATAATAATGATAGCATTTAAGAGTGATGAAAATTTGATTTTCGTTGGGAATGTTAGATGAATTGAACTCAATTAAGATTTTACCTTGATTAGTTAATTTATATAATTTTTTTTTTTCTTAACGAAACGAATAATAATATATAACAGCCAACTCGAACAAAGTTTGTACATAAGGGCACACCGAGAGGCACTCGCCTAGCTATAATCGATTAAAGTTGATGTGATGTGTAAAAATGATTAGTCAATATTATTTAATTATATTAATAATATTGAGAATAATTGAGTTGAATTAAAGTTGAGTTATATTTTAAATATGAATTGAGTGTGGAATGAGAAAATTCATATTCAAATTGCACTAAAAAAATATTTGTTCATTTCAAAGAGAGACCAACATGAAATTC